CAAAGGCCTGATAACAAGCCATTCATTTGATTCAGGTTTGTTGGAACAAGGATGCATCTAAAAGCTGCAGGACGGTAGCTCTCGAGGGCTGGGATTGGGCACCCCTGCTCCAAAGTGTTGAAGAAAAAAGTCTTTAACAAGTTATATTTTCAGTCAGTGAGTGCATCTTTTGTATCTGTTACTCTCCCCCTCCCCCTCCCCCTGTAATATGCAAAACTGCACTGGTTAAAACATAGATGTGATCATAGAGGTTTTTGTTGGTTACAGTAAGGTAGTCACAGGTCAGCCACCAAGCAAACAGTTACTTTATTGATCACTATATTTGATTTATGAATATGAATTGAGATTACACCCAAATATATAGTGTATATAGTATATGTTTGAGTAAATTATAAATAATTAGTTTGCTACCCATATTAATATCTTGCTGTAACAGTAAAAATGAGCAGATGTTCGTCAGACTCTACAGTTCTTGCTAAAATGAAGGTGCATTGATCAAAAGCCAGACCCAATGGAAAGGAAAGTTGGATGAAATTAGCACAAAATCCATCTGTCTTCCTAAAAGCGAAGTGGGTGAGATGAACATTACAAACAATAGCCTCCCTGCATGCTGGCTGCTCATAGATGTGCTACAAAACCTGCTTTCAGTTTTTAGCCTGTAACCCAGTTGCGTGCTTACCCATACTCCCTTGCTACACTGTTTGGGTTTTGCCCTAGAATAGACTAATTAGTGTGTGACAATAGACATGTTGTCTATTGAATGATAGTGGCACTGATGCTTGCCGCTGTTTGAAAGTATTCCTGCATTGCTTTCAAGAGAATTGGCATTAACTCATCACCATGACTAATGACAAGCTAACTAAGAGAAAAACAAACAAGTGTCAGTGGTGATTAATGATTCTGATTTAATATGCTGACCGTTCACGATGCTGCACAGACGTCTGCATAAAACCACACGTGGGTTTATACAGTAGTACTGACCCCATGTATGAAATCCACACATCTCCTCTATTGACTGGCATTTTGTTAGCTAGCACTCTGTCAAATCATCATAACATACTCAGACACCAACACAACCAACAAC